CTTCATTATTTAACTCAAATACAAGCTTTTATTGCCCTGCATTAAATACGAAGTAAGCACTGCGGCAGTTCGGGCACTTAGTTCGGTTAATGCATGCGGACACGAGGATGACTTGTCAAATGTCAACGATTTTAAAAGCAAGCATGTATTCCTGCCCAAATTACGGAGAACTCCGTGTTAATTGTCAGAATTTGCATTTGCAGAACACCTGGGGTAAACAACAGGATTGTAAAGTTATGCAGTATACAGCCAACTAAAGCCGATACTAAGCGAACCAGTCAAAATGTCAGTTACACAAGTGCTTGTATAAAGAGTTACTAAGTATACTGTAGTGTCTCGGAGTGGGAATCCAATATAGGAATCTGTACGGAGTACGGCTGACTATTTTTGCCTGCTCAATTGCTCATTTTGCAAATGCGCCTAGCGGTCAACCCAGTACTATTTAGTACTAAGGCCGAGACATGAAATGATTAACCCGATCATCGCGACCCAACAGCTCCATAATTTGGCCCCCCTAATCCGGCAGTGCAAACTGCAATGCAAGGCTGACTGAAAAGAGTATTTGTTCAGGGTCCGTGTGAGGCTCTTTTTGTTGCTATTTTTTTTTTTTTTTTTTTTTTTTTTTTTTTTTTTATTCGGCTTAGGTCTCATTTGACTCAGTTCAAAGAAAGTGATTGACATCGAAGCCACTTGGACCATGCGGTGATGGCCTCGGACTGAGCCATCGCCCCATCTCTATTGCGTGCTTCTTTCGGGGCCTTACAAACTGCCTTGCTGGACGTTGGTTTATTTAAATTGCGGAGTCCTGCAGCTTATTTTGAGCTTGTGCATTCATAATCTTTCATCTTGACTTTTTTTGGGGGGGTTTTACTATCACTACATATACCCGTTGTGCGACGCGGAGAACTACACAAGATGGCGTCGCTAGAACCGATACAGGAGAAATACGACGAAGAGAACATTCACTATAACGAAGACTTTGACGATGTCCCTCTTTATGCCAATACCGACTACGATGAATACGATGATGACTATGAGCGATGGATGGGAGAGGACCACCCGCTGCGATCATATCCGACCGAATGTTGTCCGGGACTATGGCGATCGACGGAAGCCCTGAAGTTCGGACGGACGTTCCGACTGGTGTGTGTGGTGGTCATCTTTCTGTATGTCTCATCGATCTTGAATATTGTCTATGCATAACTAACAAGCATAGAATCATCATTATCCAATTCCTCGCCCTCCTACCTACAGTCTTCAAATATATGCTGCCCAAAGAAGGCGCAGTAGACGACCGACTCCCCGTTCCGCAGTGGCCTTCTGAATTCACCACCAACCGACCCAGTCACTGTCTCTCATATAACCCCCGCAGCCGCGATGCTGCTCAGTACGCGATCGCAGCCGGTTGCACGGGCGCCAAAGCGGATCTCTGGCTCCATGGTACCGATCTCCTTGTGGGAAGCTCCTTTACAGACCTCGACACGAAGCACACACTGCGAAGCCTATATTTCGACCCTCTTCAGAAGGAACTAGATGCAAAGCGCAATGCACCCAAGGACTCTCAAGTCCAGTCCGGGCTGTTCGAAGACCCCGCCCAGAGTTTTGTTCTGGTGCTCGAGTTCAAGACGTGGCAGCACGCTGCGCTTTCTGAGCTAGACTCTCATCTGTATGGGCTACGACAAGGTGGTTACCTGACCCGGATGAATGGGTCTGAGGTGATTCCAGGACCAGTGACCGTGGTTGTCACGGGTCAGGGAGAGCACCACGTTCGGTCCGGTCACGACGCGGAATATGACGAGATCTTCTTTGACGCCTCGCTGGACGAACTCACCATGATGGACTACGACCCTTGGAAGCTCACTCACCGGGGTCCCCCCAAGCCCAACACTCCCCCCACCAACGTATTAAATCCCAAGAAGGGCCTCTCCGCCGAGGCTCCCTCCTCAACCATCTACAGCGCCACAGCCACCTTCAGTGAATCAGTTGGATTCCCACGACGGGGCCGGTTCTCGCCGCAGCAGATCGCCCTGATCCGGGCTCAGGTGCAGGCGGCCCACCGACGCGGTCTTCGGGTGCGATACGAAGGAGTCCCGCAAGGTCGGGGGCGGCTCAGCGACTATATTTGGCGGACTCTGGTTCAGGAGGGAGTGGATATGATTGACGTGGATTGGCAGGCGGCGTACCATCGGGCCTGGTGGCAGCGGTGGTTCACGTATCGTCCGACCAGCGACTAAATGGTTTTTCCTGTGTTATGTTTATTGTATTGTACAGAATTACAGAGCGAAGTATAAATAAGATATGATTTATGTATAATTTCTTTTCCCAATCTGTAGAAATTGCATGGCCCTTACTGCGTACAGAGAGCAAGGGAACCCAACACGGCTTAATCAGCCATATACACGTTACCCGAATAGGCAAAGTGCTATCAGACCCACTTCCCCCGCTGCTCCAGCCGATCACCTGCTGATGCCAGGCTGTGATTGGCTGGAGGAGGGCGTTGGATCTCGGCCTGCATTTTCCACTCATTCACCGTCGCTTTTTTTTCTTTTTTTTTTTTTTTTTTGCGTCCTTTCTTTTTTCCTTTTTGCTGAAGGGGCACTGATGGTGTCTTTATCGTGTACTTATTGCTCTTGAGCTTATCTGTTTCTTCCTCTTCCTTTTCTCTGTTTACCGAAGCCCGCCTCAGTATCAGGATCTGATCACGCGCGACTGAAGTGTTTGGAGCTCTGCCCAACAGCTCTTTTCCACCGCCATTTCTTTGTGCGTGTCAACGGTCTCCAGCTTGTGTCAGCTCAGAATCCAACACCAACCACCCAACATCACACGAGCATTCTCACTTACTCTAATCCATCATCATTACTACGACTATGATGGAATTTCATCATCCGCATTCACAACTGCCGCCGCGACCGGACTCGTCGATATTCGTTCGGCCGCCTCCTCGCGCACCAGCGAATCCTCCTGTTCTTCCTCCCGGCGGCTCATATAGCCTTCCTCCTCCTCCCCCTCCTGCTCTTCCTGCTCAGTCGACTGCCTACGCGCCCTACGGATATCGTGAGTCTCGTCCGATGATCTACGAACCTACACAACCGTATACTTCTGCACCTCTTCCCGTGTCGTCTGCGCCTGCGCCTGTCAGTGTTCCACCGTCGCCGTTGTTGATGGGTGGTTCAAGCGGTTATCATTTACCGCATGTGAACCATGGGTCGCAGGGGCAGAACCAGAGCCAGAATCAGCGGGGATTTTTGGGAGGAAAAAGGGGCTTGAATACGGTGTATGGTGAAGGTAAGATACAGCTATCTTTCATTTCTTTCGTCTTTTCTTTATTTTTTGGACTCGTCTGTCTTTCTTTGTGTTGTCCGTTGTCCTTGCCGCGCGCGATGGGGACATGCCGGGATTGGAGCCCAACGGTTGCATGAATGATGGGCAGCGATCGAGCACCTGCAGCACCACGTCAGACCTTGCACATTGGCCTCTTTCATTTCTGTCATTGTTTCTATGCACACTCAGCTACACACATTCTTTCACCCTCTCTCAATCACTATTACTACCCTACTCCCCTGTGTACATCATCACTCAAGATCGACTGCCGAGAGACAGCTCGGGAAGACTATTCCCAATATGGACTAGTGTCGGATGAGCTCCCGGGGTCACGGGTTTGTGGTCACCGCCTGCAGGCCCCGTGACCTCAGTGGCTCCCCATGACCCATCAGCAATCATCGCCTGTTTGTTCCTTTTTTCTCCAAGCTTCCATCTTGCTCATCCACGCGTTTCCTTGTCTCATGATCCCCCCTTCTCACCCCCTCAATCCTTCACGTCGGAGGTCTTTGGGCAACCTCTCCGGCAGTCCCCTGTTTCCTGGTGAGTTGCTCGCCAATATCAGGCCCGTTCATGCTATCGCGCAGGAACCGCTGTCTGTTGTTTTGTGCTTACTCCGTACCCTGCATACCCCATACGCGAGGGTAATTGCGTTGCTTTTGCTTTTTTCTTTCTTTCTTTTTCTCTATCTCTCAAGTCTACGCGTCTTTATCTCCATCAGTTCTCCAATTATTGCGCTGGTGCGCGATTTCAACAAGATTGATCACTGATCGCGCGATCCGCATCACAGACACAACCGATCATTCCTCCGCGCCGCCAGCCATGAGCAATCGCCAAATGCCGCCGCCATCCCCGCCCCAACATTACCCTACATCCAGAGGACAATCGGCAAATGCACCTCCTCTTCCCACTACCTTCTTGTCCCGTGAGCAACTTCCCAGCAACCCGGCTCATCGTCCTGGGAGCAGCATGTCAATATCCGCCATGCTCGGCTCGGACGCTGACCGGCCAGCTCGGGATCTAGGCCCCTTCTCTCGCCCTCCTGTATCCTCCTCTCCTTCTCCATATACCAGCGCTCCTCCTTCGGCGAATCCCAGTGCCATGTCTCCCCCGGCGAGGCCTACCTCCCTCGAATACCCGTTCTTCCGGCGATCCCAGACGCCCGAAAAGTCGTTTGCGAAAAGCCACCCTCCAGCTCGTCCATATCGGTCGAGTTCCGGAGGTGTCTCACAAGCGTCTATCACAGAGCAGTCAAAGTTTAACCCTCTGTCGTCTCGTGCGCCGCCATCCTCACAATTTCCCGACAAGCCTGGCTCCTCCCATCCATCTCCCCCGATATCCTCAACAGAAACCGCTTACAACGAGTCGCGTCGCTTGAGTCTCAACGGCCCGATCCCCCGGCCCAACAGTCAGCCCCAGGTCGAGCACCCCGCTCGTGGTCCTGGCTACAGCCCACTCTCACGACCGACACCATCCTTGGGGGAGGGTGCTGCTGCTCCTGCGGCTGCCCTTGCCGCAACTCAATCGCGTCCGACACCATTCTCGGAGCATGGCCGATTCGGAAGTCTCTATCCCGACCGTCATTCGGAGGAACTAACGCAACGGGAGAGAGAGAGAGCGATGGGGCGGGAACTCGATGCTTCCCGAGCATCAGGCCACCGGTACAGTGCTTACGGAGATCGAGAGACGTTTGGCCGGCCGCAAGGGCCCGGAGCGTGGGAGCTTGGTCGCTCGCAACCGCCGTCACCAGAAAATAAGCGCTTCCTTGCATCTGAGCATAGTTCGGGTTTCGGGCTCGGTGCGATTCAAAGCTACACCAAATCATTGGGTTCCCAGGCGGGAAGTGGCTCGCGACCTGTTTCCCTATCCGCTCAAACCCAGCCTACGCCTCCACCCAGCGAACAACCACCTTATCTACACAAGCTGCAAACTGAGCCGCCTCGATTGTTCAGCTCCGGTTTGTCTACGGGTCCGTCACCCCTGATGCAACCAGCCACAGATGATCGACGCAAAGGAAGTGATGAACTTATGCACCACCGTAACCTCCTCGGAGTTGGTGCAGAAAAGCGAGGTGGTCGTGCTTCGCCCCTGCCCCAAGCAGTGCAAGGTGCCTCGGGCCCTGGAGGGGAGTCGAGTATCAAGAATGACTTGGGCCGTGTGTTCTCCGGCATCGGAAGTGGTGTCGGTGGTGTTACCGCCCCGACAGCAGGAAGCACAAACTCCACCCCTATCATGAGTCCCTTCAAACGGGACAGCGGTACCGCTCGGTCCACAAATGGCGATGCCCCCAACGATGAAGCCAAGATTTCTCGGCCTGGTTCGACCACCGGCAGACGGTCAAGGAAGTCGCGAGAGGAAGAAGTTCAGTCAGTGGAAGGTGATATGGTTGACCCGCGCACTGGTGTATCGGGACGTGGTCGACGAGGACGACATGCCCACCACCACCATCATCAGTATGTTTTCTACCTTTTGACTTGTATAATGACAAAGCTAACTGTTCTCAGCCACCACCATCACCGGAAGCCAGAAGAAGAAGGGCGACCGATGTCATCTATGAACCCTTTCCACCGTGCGTCGACGGTATCAGCAGAGGGTAGCTCCGGAGTAAATCCGCACCACCACCATCATCATCACCATCACCATCACCACCATCACCCCTCCCGGACATCAGCCCCTGCCCTCAACACTATGTCGCCTATGCGTGAACCTCGGACCGTGGTGAACATTGAGCCTGTACGATCTAGTGTTTCTCATCTTCCCCGTCATCACCTCGGTTCGACCTTGTACACACCACGTATTGGGGTTCCGACCACCAAATCCCCGTTGGAGAGTGCCAAATTTGGATACACGTCGACGCCCCAGCCGCTCCCGCGGTTTGAAGGCAAGGAGAACTGTACGTTTACGGTGCGTGTGCCTCGATACAGGATCGACGCGGCCCGTCGCGAGGAGATTTGTGCACGCCGCGCTTTGTGGGGAACGGGTGTCTACACTGATGACTCGGACCCCGTTGCAGCTGCTATTCACTCGGGATTCATCCGCGGTGCCTGGGGAGAAGATGTGGACGAGAGTTTCCTCGATCTGGAAATCAGAGACATCTACCAGCATGCGCCACCACCATCGGAGGAAGATCGCGAGTCGGATCAACCCCGGATTCCACCGGTGCCACCCACGGACAAGGATCTCCACATCACCTTGTTGGTCCTCCCCAAGCTGGACAAGTACGATCAAAGCGTGCTGTTTGGCATCAAGTCGCGGACCTGGGATGGCAATCACGATGGTGTGAGCTTCCAGGTCTTGCGCATTGACTGGGTTGAAGAAGGTGCCGGACGCGGCGAAGAGCGTGGCGGCGAAGCACGACGGAAGCGTCTGCGCAACCTGATGCAGACCGGGAAAATCTGCACGGGGCCTGCAGTGGTTAAGCTGGAGGACCTCCGTAATCGCGGATTGGAAGTTGATGCGCAGTCGAAGATGCGGATGAACGAGGAACGGCGGTCTACGGTGCAGCCGGTCTCATGATTCTATTTTTTTTTTTTTTGGGCTATACCCCTTTCTTTATTGATCTTAATGCATTGGTTTTGATACTTTGTTTGCTAGCAAGGCGCGTGCAATGGGTTGTTCATGGGAGGTTTTTGTTGGTTGATATAGATATGATACCTAACGGTGCATTCTCTTTTCTAGTGCTACTATGGTACAGTCCGGGGCAGCGGGAACGGATGAAGGGAGATGACGTCTGCCAGTGAAAGTTTATAGCAGTAATTGCTGGCTGTACTATGATTCTTTCTTGTCTAATAGTGTTTGTTAATTTGCTGTTCTTAGGTGAAGAGCTGCCCATATCAGATCTAAGCCGGTCGTCATTGGAGATCCCCCCGCATTTCTACAAACCTTGAGTCTGTATAGTAGTTGTAGAGTTTTGGTAGCCGTGGTGCATATATACGGTAATCTTCATTTCAGTGCAGTCTTCTATATAACCCCCTATGCTGCTCTATATTATCATCTTCATATTCCAGCTGTTTTCATCACTATTTTCAACTGATCGATTCAACCGAGGCTCATAGCTCTTGAAATGGTATTACCGTCCTGTCACTGATCCTGACCACACCATTACCATTATTACCACCGCAAACCCTCCCTTCCACCGCCCCGAGCGGGGTGCGCGTGACCAGGCGTGACGATACCGTACGGTAACACTCGGTCGGTTGTGACGGAATTCCCTCCAACCGAGGCTCAAGTGTTCCGCTTTAATTCTTGAGGACATCATCCCTCTTTATTTCTGGCCTTTTTTAACATCTTTTCTATTCCGGTCTGCTTCTTCATTCTTACGACATCCCTGACCTCAATTCCCCCTTTTCCTTGGCCTCTTCTTCTTCCCTTTGCCACCTTTCAAACAGAGGGATGTTCACGGCTGCTGCGCGGAGCCGTCTTTCCACCACCTTCACACGGCAACGTCTTTCTCCTACCCCCTCTATTCTCGCCAGATCAGTAAGTACCTAGGATAGGACTGTGAAAAGAGAGGATTTGAGTATTAACTGCGAAACAGTCTCCCATCATGGCTCCTCGTCGCAATGCATCTTCCGTCCCTGAGGGTAAGTTTTCCCAGAATCACATGTTTCCACCCGGTCACCGGAACTAATGACTTCTAGGATACAAGGAGGACCTCTCCAAGGGCAAAATGCTCCGTTTCGAAGACTCCCTTCCCCGTCTGCCAGTCCCCTCTCTCGAGGAAACCGCCAAACGCTACCTGAAATCCGTTCACCCCATCGTCACCGATGCCGAGTACGAGCGTACCAAGAAGGCCGTCGAGGCTTTCATTCGTCCCGGTGGCTCTGGCCAGACGCTGCAGGAGCGCCTGTTGGCGCGCGCAGCAGACCCGAATTGCCGGAACTGGTTGACGGAGTGGTGGAATAACGCTGCGTACTTGGGATACCGGGATCCCGTTATTCCCTATGTCTCGTACTTTTATTCGTTCAAGGATGACCGGGCACGGCGCGAGCCTGCTAAGCGGGCTGCTTCTGTTGCTTCTGCTGCACTGGAGTTTAAGAAGCAGGTTGATGCTGGTTCGTTGGAGCCGGAGTACATGCGTGGCCAGCCTATGGCTATGGGCTCGTATGAGTACATGTTTAACTGCTCCCGTGTTCCTGGGGACGGTGTTGATGCGCCTCGCAAGTATGCTGCTAAGGACAGTGAGCATATTGTTGTTGTGCGCAAGAACCAGTTCTTCAAGGTGCCGACTGTTGTCAACGGCGAGCCCCTTAGCTTCTCTGAGTTCCAGAGACAGTTTGAGCGTATCTATGAGATTGCGCAGCGCGCTCCCCCAGTGGGTGTCTTGACTGTTGCCAACCGGGACCTCTGGAACGATGCCCGGAAGCAGCTGCTGGCAGCCGATCCGGTCAACGAGCAGACTATCAAGGACATTGAGTCGGCTGGTTTCCTTATCTGTCTCGACGATGCCACCCCCGTTACCCTGGAGGAGCGGGCCCACCAGTACTGGCACGGCGACGGCTGCAACCGCTGGTTCGACAAGCCGCTGCAGTTCATCATCAACGACAACGGTACCGCCGGCTTCATGGGTGAGCACAGCATGATGGACGGTAGCCCCACCCACCGCCTGAACGACGTCCTCAACTCCTTCATCTTCAGCAACAAGATCGACCTCTCTGACAAGCCCGTCCGCTCGAACCTTGCTGACCCCCGCCCCATCGAGTTCAAGGTGAACGACGCCGTGCAGGAGTTCATCACCGCCGCCCACAAGGAGCACAGCCAGCAGATCGGCTCGCACGAGCTGGTTGTCCAGGCCTACCAGGGCTACGGGAAGGGCCTCATCAAGAAGTTCAAGTGCAGCCCCGACGCATACGTGCAGATGATTATCCAGCTCGCCTACTTCAAGATGTACGGCAAGAACCGCCCCACCTACGAGTCCGCCTCGACCCGTAAGTTCCAGGAGGGCCGTACGGAGACCATCCGTACCGTCTCCGACGACAGCACCGCCTTCTGCGAGGCCCACCACGACTCCTCAGTGCCCCGCGAAGAAGTCGTGCGTCTCTTCCGCACCGCTCTCGCCTCGCACACCAAGTACACCGTGGACGCCGGCGACGGCCGCGGTGTCGACCGCCACCTGTTCGGTCTGAAGAAGCTGCTCAAGGACGGCGAGCAGCTGCCCGATCTCTACCAGGACCCTGCCTACGGCTACAGTGGCTCGTGGTACCTGTCGACCAGCCAGCTGAGCTCGGAGTTCTTTAACGGATACGGATGGAGCCAGGTTATTGATGATGGATTCGGTATTGCCTACATGGTTAATGAGAACAGGTATGTCTTCCCCTTTCCCCTTGCACCTCCTTCAATATATAAGAAAAAAAAATGAAGCTAACAAATATGATAGCCTCAACTTCAACATCATCTGCAAACGCATCGGCGCGAACCGGATGAGCTACTACCTGAGCGAGGCCGCAAATGACCTGCGGGACCTGCTGATGCCGGATCTTGCGGCTCAGGCTGAGAAGGCTAAGTTGTAAGCTTTTGCAGGTGTATGATTAGTTAGGGATATGGATTAGCGTGCTGTATATATTATGATAGATTATACCTGAGATATATTCCTTTTCCTTCTTCTTTTTCTTCCTTGTTCCTTGTAGTGGCATTGCTGCAGTAGTAGTGGCTGTGAATGTCATCTGCTCTTGTCGATGTAGGGATAACTAACTATAGCATGGATACGATGACTCAGTGGTTTGAAGCTCAATCCGGACATGCTTGTTTATAGAAGGATCTATTAATAGGTAGGTGGTTTTTGTCGGTGCTTGTTTCATACGGACCGGGATAGGCTATGATATATTTCCATAATCCTTGAGCGAGTGTATTTAGTGTCATGTGCCAGGTGCCAGTGTCGGTGTCGGTGTTGGAAATATATATCCGTACGACCCTACGTAGTCGAGAAAACAAAATAGAAAACTAATGTAAAATCTATTGTATACGTACAACAAACATTAATTCAAACAGGGTATAATCATGTAGCCTAGTGATACTCCTCAGCCTGAACGAATCTCACCATACCATGCTGGTGGTATCTGCCCACCTCGTCACCTCGTGGGCGTTCATGAGACCGCATGAAATGAAAGAGTGGGGTACACAGTAACTTGTACGGCCAGGTTCGGGTTCATCTCACTTGGCACATGGCGAACATGGGTATTTATTTGGTATGTCGTACCGGTAGGTAGTATGAGGTGGAATCTAGAAGGTGCCGCGGAGAATTGTTGATGCCAAATCTGGGGAAGATGGGATGATGTCAGGGAGACCTGGTAGTACACCGCTTTGCCCTTTTTTTTTTTTTTTTTTTTTTT